GCTTTAAAATGTGCCCCCCCCCCCACTATCTTGGATGCGGGTCAGCACAAGTGTCCAGCTCCCATCAGTACACTTCTGCCAGAAATGGTGTCCCTTGCCAGGACTCTCTTGGCTGCCCAATCCTGAAAGCCGCCAATGGATGGATACAATATGGCCAGGTAGCCCTTAGAAAAGAGGCACACACAAGATAGAGCCCCCCCAGAGTGGTCTCGCCCGCACAGTCCAGTTGCTCCCCCCCCAGTTCCTGGAAGGAACCGCAGACAAATTATGGGTGTACCAGGAAAGGCTGTACCTGGGAGGCCCCTGCCACTGGCATGACAGCCTGCAAGAAAAAAAAAAAAAAACAAGTAAGGTGATCCTGTCTGGCTGGAGGAAACACATTAAACTGAGGGTTTGACCAGCTTTTTTATTTTTAATGTGTGGATCATGTGTTTCCTGTTTAGGTGGATGGAGCCTCTCCCTTGTACACTGTCCTGGAAGTTGACTTTGAAAAAATATTTAAAGTTTTTCCTTTTTTTTGTGCATTTTAATATTTTACTGTATGTTCTTAATTAAGTCATCATGTGGGGATCTAGGTTCAATTTTTCATTGCTTCCTCTGCCTCTTTTTTTTTTTTAATTATCTTTCCTTTATAGTCAAGCCAGGCATAAAACTTTTCGTTTAAGTGATACACTCACACAATGAACATTGAGGGCTAGCCAGTTCACTTATATTGGGAACCTTGGACACTTAAATGCTATAGAACACAATCTGACTACAAAAAGAAATTACAGCTTGTATGTTACAGCACTCTAATCTGACCATGAAAAATGTACGCCAGTGTATGATATTGGGACACATTCAAAAAAGCCTTTAACCACTTCCAGTCCAAGCCAATTCCAACATTCCTCTCCTACATGTAAAAAACATATTTTAATCACTTTTATTGCTATCAAAAGGAATATAAACATCCCTTGTGATAGCATGGGCCATGACAGGTCCTCTTTTTGGAGAGATCTGGAGTCTATTAGACCCCAGATCTCTCCACTGGCCTCCAAACCATCAGATCAAACCGAGATTGGTGTGATCTGTAGTTTGTTCAAGCCGCTAATGGCTTGCTTATGTGAGACCAAAATCGGAGGTAACGAAATCCTCTACTACTGCCACTGTAAGGACCAGTCACTATGGCAGCCACAGAGTCTTAAAGATCTCTCACCAATTCCCAGCACACGGCAGGGGGTGGATTAAAAAGCTGCTTTTGGACTGCCCACTGACATGACCCAACAAACAACAGCCAGACGGACCTGCTGGGAAACTATTCTCTTGGTTCCCCAACAATTTCCACCCACCTCTACTAAAAAACCCTTTGCCCATGCAGCTGTCAGTGTGATGGTTGCAGTGGACAGGGAGGGAATGCACTGGGAAAGGAGTGCCTAGAGTCACATACCTGTCTGTGAGCACACAAACACAAACACTTTCGGCACAGTGGACAACAGAATTCTAAAGGAGGTCTACAACCTCCACAGATTGTGTAATAAGCACACTTATCCTGTAACATTTTTCCTAGTTAAAGGCAATTGTTGGCAAATACAAAGAGAACAAAAAGGGTGCATCATCAGAGCAAAGCTAGCCAATGTCACATCTCTTCCGAAATACACCTATGACTGTGCACACACCCTTAAACCTCCCTGAAGGGTGAAGGACCAATGCAACAACATCCAGGAGTAACACATCAACAATAACTGTATAGTATAGTAATGAATGTAGTGTAGCAGAAAGTTCTCACATAGTTTGAGGAACACATACATCTCTCTCACCTCACAAAAATCCCATACAATTGTACACTGCGATGATGTTCCTCAATATTTCATCAGGAAAACTCCTTTATAACCATAAATAATTCTATGCACAAATGAACATTAATTATTAAGTCCAACTACAGTGCTAATACAAAAGTACTCTTGTGCTGTAAACATACACTCACCGGCCACTTTATTAGGTACACCTGTACAACTGCTTGGTAACACAAATTGCTGATCATCCAATTATATGGCAGCAACTCAATGCATTTAGGCATCTAAACGTGGTGAAGACAACTTTCTGAAGTTCAAACTGAGCATCAGAATGAGGAAGAACGTGGATTTAAGTGACTTTGAACATGGTATTGTTGTTGGTGCCAGGCAGGCTGGTCTGAGTATTTCAAAAACTGCTGATTTACTGGGATTTTCAATCACAACCATCTCTAGGGAAATTGAGACTCATCAGACCAGGAAACGTTTTTCCAATCTTCAATTGTCCAATTTTGGTGAGCCTGTGTCCGTTTCCTGTTCTTAGCTGACAGGAGTGTCGCCCAGTGTGGTCTTCTGCTGTTGTGCATTCAGTATTGGTATTCTGCATATCTTGATTGTAACGAGTGGTTATTTGAGTTACTGTTGTCTATCACCTCATATTAGTCTGCCCATTCTCCTCTGACAACAAGGCATTTTCGTCCACACAACTACTACTCACTGGATATTTTCTTTTTCGGACCATTCTCTGAAAACCCAAGATGGTTGTGTGTGAAAATCCCAGTAGATCAGCAGTTTTTGAAATACTCAGACCAGCCCATCTGTCACCAACAACCATGCCATGTTCAAAGTCACTTAAATCCCCTTTCTTCCCCATTCTGATGCTCGGTTTGAACTTCAGCAAGTCATCTTCACCACATCTACATGCCTAAATGCACTGAGTTGCTGCCATGTGATTGGCTGATTAGCAATTTGTATTATCACGCAATTGAACAGGTGTACCTAATAAAGTGGCCAGTGAGTATATATTCATCCAGGTGCTCAAAATACGCTTACCTCTGGGACTGACCCATAACGTCTCTTTTATAGGTCTATTGTGCGCTTTCCCATTTAAGGGGTCTCAACAGTCCTGGTTCCTTCCTCACAACCTCCATTATTTGGTAATGGTATGCACTTTCTCTTTAAGCCCTGGTTCACACTGATGCAAATTGTGATGCGATTTGACCGTTCAAATTGCATGACAAATTGCATCCAATGATAGGCAATGTAACTGCTCTAATTGGTGCGACTGACTTCATTGGAGTCGCACCAATTAGAAAAGTAGTTCCTGCACTACTTAAAGTGAAGTTGCACGATTTCAAAGTCGAATTCAGTGTGAACCTAACTAATGTTAACAGCTCCTACGTTCTCCAGCAAAACATCCATCAGACTCAGACATCAAAGTAAAGAAATAGGTTTTATAGTGCTTTCTGCATATATAACTCTTTTTATGAAAATAAATTAAAAACACTCACTTGGTTCCATGCACTATATGTGTGCACTACAATTTAACAGCATGCATATCCCCTTAAAAAATAGAAGGATGATGAGCAGCACAGCTTAGCCGTAACAAACGAGAAAGAAAAATAATGCAGCCACCGCAATAAGGGATTGGTAATCTGCAATATATTAATTTTTGGGTTTAATATTGCTTTAACCCATTTCCACACAGCCCTGACTTCGCTTTAACTGGGCTAAAATACCTAGGGGATGAGAAGGGCTGCCTGATCATATGATCGTTGTTACAGTGGTCACATGATTGGAAGCTAATCCCAGCGGCTCCTGATCATTACCAAAGACTGGGAGTTGTCTCTGACAGCTCGGTCTCTGTGCTGGGAGCATGCAGTGCACACATTCTCAGCACAGAAACCTCCCCATGGATGCATGTGTGCAGCATGTGAGATAGGTAGTAAGAGGTTAAGCTTTACATAGACTTCAACCACTTGCTACCTGCCCACAGAACATTTACTGGTATGTCGCATGTGCACTAGTGCGCCTCCTGGGGTGTGCAGAGGCGCAAACCCACGAACGCTGTGTTCTGCAGACACAGTGGATCACAGTGCTCAGTATCCGGCTGCTTTAGGTGGCTGGGGGATTATGTGATCGCTATGACCCAATGATGATAATCACATGATATTTATGCAAGCAAATTGTCATGAATGGGTTTCTATTCATGACAGCTTGATTACTTTTATGATGCTGTGATTGGGCCACAGCTATCACATGGTACCTGGATACCTGTACCATGTAACTAGCTGTAGCAATCACAGCATGTCAACAGTAACTATGCTGTCATGAATGAAATCCATTCATGACAGGTAAAACTATTGTGCATAACAGTGAACTTCATCGTTATAAGCAATAACAGTGTAAACATAAAATCCGTGATCACCACCCTAGAGTAGTATGGTGCCACTATGGTGACACAGAACTAGTCTGATGAAAGTATGTAAAAAAAAAAAAAGTTAAAAAAAGAAGAAACCAAAGTTCTTTTGATGACGCTGTACTGCACTGGTGACAGTATGTAAAAACAAATTGAGAAAAAAGAATAAAATAAAAAAAACTTTAATTTTTTAATTTTCAAAAAAATTTTGACAAAAAAATACAATTTCAAAAACCTGGTCATGCCTCTTACCAAACTTTGGACTGTCTACTTTCCAAAAAGGGGTCATTTGGGGGGATTTGTACTGTCCTGGCATGTTAGGGCCCCAATAAATGACATCAGAATTGATCAATTTTTAAATCCATAAATTGTAGACTCTCTAACTTTCACGAAAACTAAATAATATATACACTGATTTGGGCTATTTTTTACCAAAGAAATGTAGCGGAATATATTGTGGCCTAACTTTATAAAGAAAGATTATTTATTTTGCAAAATTGTATAACCAAAACTAAGAAAGACGAGTTTTAATTTTCTGTATTTTTTCATTTATATATATATATATATATATATATATATATATAAAATAAAATAAAAAGTGGTGAATAAATACCACCAAAAGCAAGCTCTATTTTTGTGAAAAAAATGATGTCATTCGGGTACAATGTTGCATGACCGCACAATTGCCAATTACAGTAGCACGGTGCTGAGTAGCTATAAATACCCCGGTCATGAAGGGGGTACAACGTTCCGGAGATCAGGTGGTTTACCTTCATCCAGTGTGTGTGTGACATTGTATAGGTCAGGCTCACCTGCATTTTCTGTAACTCCCAAACACATATTGGAATGGCCACCAGAAGTCCCACAACGTACAGCACAACCACCAGCGGGCGGATCCATCTTCTCCAGTTCCCACAGGTACAGGGCATATTGAACGATGGGCAGATCCTGTGTTCTATCAGATGAAGCTACTTGTGGATGCCCTGGGGGTTACAGCATGTTCTGGCCATGTGGAGAGAGCAGCAGGGTGGGTGATGCTGTGGACACACGATGTTGTGACTCTAGAGATCTGACATAGGTACCACCAGCCTAGATCTCAGCCCCTGCCCAGGTAACCTGCATTTCACACACACAGTGCATCAGGGGTGTGCCCTCCACCTACATTCATCACATGCCTGATCACCTGTGCATGAGGCACAACTCAGGTATGAGCACAGGGCACCTAGCACCACCCCTCCGCCTCCCCTACACCAACACCGGCTGTCACCACCATCCCCTGCAACAAAACAATACACTTCCGGCTTCTGGAACACAGCCCGCCCACATTACTTCGCTAACTCCGGAGCGCGCCATGCCATTGGCTCAGCCTCGGATCAGTCAGCTATCATTACCGCCTCTTGCAATAAACAGCCTAGATTGGCTGACAGAAGAGGGTGGGTATTGTTGGGCTGAGGTAATGACCTCGTGATTATGTCACATGATGAGGAGTGGATAACGATGGGAAGGAATGACGTAGTCACATGACGTGCATGGGGCTAACGTTGCTTCCTGTCAGGGAGGGGCTTTGCTCTCCTGCTATAGTAAACCTCGGCTAACAGAGATATGAGGGTTGTCATGACTGACCACCTGCGAGAAGTGCTGGCTGTCTGCTAGAATACAGACAGGTCTCCGTATATCAGTGTTTTTTCTGGGACAGAAGCAGACAGCTGAAGTTTGAGCATGTGTAAGCTGTAGAAGAAAAATGAGTAGCATTGCAGCTTACCAGTCCTTTCATTTCAAGTCTGCTTGTTTTGTTTCCTTTATTACAACCTGGTAATCCTACCATTACCACACTTCCTGTATCCGGGTGACAACCATACAACATTGCACAGTATAGTTGTCACCCTAGGACACCACTTTCTTCATATTGGCTTGGGGGTGGTCCAGGAAAAAGGAAACCGATGACAGTCCAGAAGCAGAAGTTATCAGCGCACAGGGTTTCTAGCTTTCTCTCACCACCTTGCTTTAACCTTCAGAATGCTTACCCACCGTGTCACAACGGCGTGCATTGTGCGTCACAGGGCAGTTCCATCATGTCTCTATGCATTTGGATTGGTTGCGTGCCAAATGCGGAATACTGTTTCTTTTTTAGCTACAGCATGTGCACAGCCCTGGGTAGCTATTACTCAAGTTTGGGTGGGCAGTCGGGGCAGTCAAATCACAGCTCAATTATCTGCTTTTACCACCCCCAGTTGCCCATGTGAACTAGTACTTAGGAGTTTGCAAGAGCCCAGCATTCCACACAAAAGGATGTAAGTAGGAACTCTGATGTAAAGGGGAACGCTGCAGACTAAAGTGTGCGTGAGGGGGGGGGGGAGGGGGGGTGTGGTGTCCCCCTGGCACTGTTAGTGGGAATCCTGCTGACTCTGATGTAAGCAGGAACTCTTGTGTAAGGGGGGGGGGGCTTTGGTGACCAGAGACCCCCCCTTACAGCAGAGTTCCCCTTTACATCAGGGTCCACAGTGTTCCCTATTACATCAGATTCCTCAGATTTCCCCCTTACAGTGTAAGGGGGAACCCTGCAGACCCTTATGTAAAGGGGAACTCTGTGGACTCTGATGTAAGGGAGAACTTTGTGGACTGTATTGTAAAGGGGAAGTCTGTGGAGTCTGATGTAAGGGGAACTCTGTGGACTGTAATGTAAATGGTGACACTGTGCACTCTTCTGTAAAGGGAGAGTTCCCCTTATATCAGAGTTTCCCTTTACATCACATTCTCCATATCAGCAATGAGCTGAGTACCACTTCTTGTTCTGTATGCATGGACATTGTGGAGTCCTATTATTTGGTATGCTGAGAATGATTCCAGTACCTGTGTTTATTCTGTACTGTTTCTATGGATCAATATGTTCATCATGAACAGAACTATACTAGTGCCCCCTTAGTATAGTGTCCTCAATAACGCAGTGTTAGCAGGATCAGCCTCATTCGCTGCCAGCACTAGCGTTTAGACCAGGGGTGGGCAAACTTTTTGACTTGAGGGCCGCAATGGGTTCATATAATGGACCCGGGGGCCGGACCAAGAGTAGATGAATGATGTGTATGTGTCATCCATAGTAAGTATAGTAATATTCCCCCATAGTAATTCATCCCCCATAGTAATTCATCCCCCCATATAGTAATTCATCCCCCATATAGTAATTCATCCCCCATATAGTAATTCATCCCCCATAGTAATTCATCCCCCATATAGTAATTCATCCCCCATATAGTAATTCATCCCCCATAGTAATTCATCCCCCATATAGTAATTCATCCCCCATATAGTAATTCATCACCCCCTATAGTAACTCATCCCCCATAGTAATTCATCTCCCATAGTAATTCATCTTCTATAGTAATTCATCCCCCATAGTAATTCATCCCCCATAGTAATTCATCCCCCATATAGTAATTCATCCCCCCATAGTAATTCATCCCCCCTTCCATAGTAGTAATTCATCCCCCATATAGTAATTCATCCCCCATATAGTAATTCATCCCCCCTATAGTAATTCATCCCCCCTATAGTAATTCATCCCCCCTATAGCAATTCACCCCCCCTATAGCAATTCACCCCCCCTATAGTAATTCACCCCCCCTATAGTAATTCACCCCCCCTATAGTAATTCATCCCCCCTATAGTAATTCATCCCCCATATAGTAATTCATCCCCCATAGTAATTCATCCCCCATATAGTAATTCATCCCCCATATTAAGTCCCCAAGTCCCCCCTGTGTCAACTCACTTACCTTTGCTCCACGCGTTCCTCTCGCCCTTTCCCGCGCCGTTCCGGTGTAGCATGAAAATCTGTCTCCTATGAGGATCTGTCCCCCTCGACGTATCTGCGCATGTGCCAGTTTCAGGCATTAGCAGCCGATCGGCGATCTCCGGCACATGCGCAGATACGTCGAGGGGAACAGATCCTCATAGGAGACAGATTTTCATGCTACACCGGTCTTCAGGGCGGACTGTGAGAGGAGCCTAGCTCCGCGGGCCAGATTAAAAGGTCCGCCGGGCCGTAGTTTGCCCATTGCTGGTTTAGACCCTCCGCTGTTTTTCACTGTGATTTGTATGAATTGATTGTGGGCCAAAGCAATTTCTATGCACAACAATACATTGCTGCCTACCCAAATTTAGCTCTTGCTAAACAATTTGCATGGAAAACTATCATGGTTTCTGAATTGAAAAAGTTTTTGGGCCTAACCCTCAACATGAGGATCACAAAAAAGAATGAATTGCGGTCATATTGGTCCACAGACCCGATCTGTCATATGCCCATGTTCTCTGCTGCCATGGCCAGGTATAGATATAAGGCAAAAATGCACTTGGTGCATTTCAGTGATAACACTGATGACGCTCATGAAATAAAAAAGAACATTATATGGGACTTTTCGCTCCCACTGGGGAGCCAGAGAATTCAGCCGGCGAATTCCAGAGGTCGGAATGGCTCCAATCATCTCTATGGTCTAAGAAACCAGAAGCAACAAGCATTTCATCATTTCGGTTTTGCCAGATAAACAGCGCCATTTTCAAATTTGGAAAGCATCTGATTACAACAATCTTGGTGTGATCAGATGCTTTTAGGGCAGAGGAGAGATCTAGAGTCTAAGCCTGGGTTCATATCTGTGCGGTGCGGTATATCGCATGTGATTCACACAGGAACCACACCGCATTCCTGAGCAAATCACATTCGATTTGTGTGCAGTGCGATTAAAGCCATACATTTTGTACAGGCTAGATCAGGGGTGGGCAAACTTTTTGACTTGAGGGCCGCAATGGGTTCATATATTGGACCCGGGGGCCGGACCAAGAGTAGATGAATGATGTGTATGTGTCATCCATAGTAAGTATAGTAATATTCCCCCATAGTAAGCATAGTAATTCATCCCCTATAGTAATTCATCCCCCCATATAGTAATTCATCCCCCCATATAGTAATTCATCCCCCATATAGTAATTCATCCCCCCTATAGTAATTCATCCCCCCTATAGTAATATCCCCCATATAGTAATTCATCCCCCCATAGTAATTAATTCCCCATATTAATTCATCCCCCATAGTACTATTCCCCCCCAAGTAGTAAGCCAAGTCCCCCCTGTGTCAATTTACTTACCTTTGCTCCGCGCGTTCCTCTTGCCGTGTTCCCACGCCGTTTCGGTCTTCAGGGCGGACTGTGAGAGGAGCCTAGCTCCCCTCACGTTCGTCACGCTGCCCCGCCTACACACATCCTGACAGCCAATGTATCCCGCGCCGTGTTCCGGTCTTCAGGGCGGACTGTGAGAGGAGCCTAGCTCCCCTCATGTTCGTCACGCTGCCCCGCCTACTACACACATCCTGACAGCCAATGTATCCCGCGCCGTTCCGGTCTTCAGGGCGGACTGTGAGAGGAGTAGCTCACGCTCCCCGCCTACACACATCCTGACAGCCAATGTATCACGCTCCACAGGCCGGATTAAAAGGTCCGCCGGGCCCGCGGGCCGTAGTTTGCCCATTGCTGGGCTAGATAATGGCACCCTGGCTGCCAGTATGTATTGGGATAAAATCCTTGGACCGATTGTCAGACGCTACGCTGGTGCAGTGGGTCCTGGGTTCCTTCTGGTGGACGACAATGCTTGGCCTCGTGGCGAGAGTATGCAGGCAATTCCTGGAGGATGAAGGAATTGATGCCATAGAATGGCCCCCACACTCACCTGACCTAAATCCAATAAAACATGTTTCAGTCCATCCGAATCTGCCAGGTTACACCTCAGACTGTCCAGGAGCTCAGTGATGCTCTGGTCCATCGTCTTATTAGCAGCATGCCCTGACATTGTCAGGCATGCATACAAGCATGTGGGGGGCCATACAAAGTACCATTTTGAGTTGCTGCAATGAAATTTCAGCAAAATGGACTAGCCTGCTGCATCA